CCAATGTCAAAATTTCATTTAAGAAGACACCAGGAGTGAAATTCACAGGCTTTTACTAAGAGGTAATCTGTCTAGTATTTACTGAGCTGTAATGAACCAATTTTTTGTTAACAAAGTTTTCCCTGACCAGCCGCAAACTCCTCATAGCCCTGGATGTGAGTGCCATCTGCTGGATGCTGCGCACAAAAATTGTTTGCAATTTTTAATAGGAAAAAGCCCAAGTAACACCTCTTCGATTTTAGGTCACAAGGACTGTAATGCCTAATGAGTAATGTGATCTTTGGTAAGGGTGCAGATTTATAAGAACAACATACTCAGGAAGCAAACTCAGTGCAAAAATATTTCACTCAGCTATTGTTTATAAGTTTGCCAGTGCCAAGAGTATAGTAAATAGTCCTCTGTTTATATTATGAGCTCACTGAGTTTTATACATTGGTGACATAGGCAGTTGGTGGGTGGCTTTTTACCGTAGGGAGTCTGTACGTATATCTTGCAGAAGGGTAGGAAATTAGGGGTCCCTTGGCTGTGATGACTTTGATGCCAAATATGTAATCTTGTCCTAGAATTTTGGTTTTGGAGCCACAGCCCGTTGGTACTTAGTGGGGAAATGCCCCCTTTGCCTCACTTTACTCTAATGAACCTTACAGAGATAACTTCACCTGTGACCTATGGGGTAATTCAGTAGGTTGGGACTCGCAGGAGCATAGGGCAACTTGTAATTTCCACTGAGGTCAAGAAGGCAGAAATGGCTCTTTAGGGGAAATAGATATTTGTCTTGATTGATTAGAACCTCATGAAGTTTCTGCTAGACTGACTCTTGAGAAGGACATGAAAATTGCATAGCACTGTTTATGTGCTAGCTATCTGGGAGAGGTGGAGGGAGAGGTGGAGGGAGAGATGGAGGGAGAGAGGCCCTGGGAAAGGAACAGGCGTTTAATCTTCTCCTTGATCATTCTTGATCACTTCTGCAGAAATTTAAAAGTTCCAGGAGTTGGTCCCTACATTATCACTGACCCAAGGATTACCCTTAGTGTATTCTTGACATAAGACCAGGTTTCTGCTGTCATGATGTTACAGTAGCAGGTGGCAAGTATACTTCCTGCCCTGACTCCCCTTTTCCTATCACTGAAAAACATCATGCGTAATTCATGAAGGAGTCTGTTGGGATAAATAAAAAAATTCCCTTTCTTTGTTCCAGGACTGGTTAATGGATTTTTTGTGGCTAAATTTTGAAAACTGCAAGGAAGAATTCAGATTTGGAAGGGGCTCAAGATGTAGAGAACTTTCTGTTTTTATTTTACTTATGTCCAGCTCAGGTCCCTTAAACACAAGGGGGTTAGAATTCAGTGTTTTATGGGTAAATGATGGGTTCTTGGTGAGATTTTCCCCAAAGGTTTTCAGTGACAACAATCTGTATTATATAGATCACATGGCATTTGGCACTCTTGTCTTTACCAACACCACCACCAAGCTAGAATATAATAATGTAGATGTTACTTCTCACACCCACAAGGGCATAATCAGCTCATGAAACTGAGTTGCTCTGTCCTTGCTAATGATTGCACATTCCAATTTTTGACTTTTCTCTATATGTATTTGCTGATTTAATATAGATTTGTGGGTTGGAAAGCATGGAGCTACTCTCGTCATTGGGATAAATCCCTACTTAATATCTGTCTCTCAGATTTCTCATGATGCGATGTCGGTTCTGTGCTTCTTGTACTTTCCATTTGGGGCAACATTGGTCAATTCTTGGGTTTCCTTCCTCTAGCATCCCTACCCCAGAGATCCCAACCTCCAACAAATTTTTTATTTACTGTGTGTTTCAAATTATTTGAATTGTTCCTGTAGTTGGTCTAACAGTGTGGTATCATGTAGATTGGTATCAGATCTGATTTTACATTGACCAGATTTCTTGATTTTACATTGACTGGATTTAGTGATCTTCTATGCCTCAAAAAAATATTGGGCTCTCAAAATGCTGCTGAGTAGAAATTTGGTTCTGAGCCCAGGTAGAAAGAAGAGAAATCACAGAACTATATAGTCATATGCTATAGAGCTCACTGGGTTTTGCCAAAAGATCTTGAAACAAGACAGGAATGAAAGCACAAATCTCAGTGGGTTGTTAATGTTTCATCAGAAAGTTTTGTGGTAAAACCAAGATGAAACCACAAGCTCACTGTTGGCTGGACCAGCACTGGAAGAATGATTTATTTCAAGGTTAGCCAAGGTCAGAAGGAAGCTTGGCTTGTTCTATTCATGTGTTCAAACCCCAGATCTACTGAGTTTTGCATGGTTTGGGGTTTCTTAAACAGAAAGCATTCTGGGGCCCAGTTCAAAGCTGAGGCCTGGGGACTAAGGGTAGAGGAAATTTGTTCTTTCTTGGTTTGCCCTTTAGCAATGTCAAGGTGAGAGATTTTATCTCCAGAGTTACTAATTGAACTTTATTTACTTACACTGTTCTTTGGAAGTTTACAAGAACAAAGAATCTCTTTTCTTTCTGTCTCTCTGCCCAATAGGAGGAACAGGATTGTTCTCCCAGAGTCTCCAGACATTTCTATAGACCAAAGGAAGATTTAGTTCTTGAAAAAAATTCATGACTATGATTACCAGAACTTGTAGATTATATTCAGTTTCTTTGGCTCAATATTCGGGTAACTCTCCAGGGGTAAAGGTAACAATGTTGCCTAGCTTAAAAGAATTGGAAGTAGTCCAAAGTTCTGAAAAAATCATGCTTCTCACTCAGACTAAGGATCTGAAGATAATAAAGGAGACAGTCACACTAAGAACTTAAGACCCACCACTCAATGTAGTGTGTAACTGTGGCACATGGAAGACTCACTCCCTTGGTGACTTGTGGGCACTCTGAGTTCTGATCAGGGTATCATGAATGAATGGTGTGAGGCTGGGAATGAGTCTTGTTATGCCAGGACCAAGTCTTCTAGGAGGTGGCAGAGTTCATCAAGTCAGATATATTTTCAGCTGCAAATTATAGAAATTCTTCTGCAAGGTTTCAATCTTATGAGATATTATTTGTTTTTCTCAGCAAGAATTCCAGGGCCAGCAAAGTGGTTCACCAGTGCCATCAGGAACCTAGACTTTTTTCTTCTTTCTACTCCCACTGTCATCCTTCTTTTGGTCACCTTAGGCTCTCAAGATGGCTGCTACAGTTCCAGACCTCATGTTTACTTTCTAGGTAGGAAGAAGGAACTAAAGTCCAAAGGACAAAATGACGAAAAAGCTCATTTTATGAAGAAAGCAAGAGTTTATTCAGAAGATTCACCCAGCAGACCTTCATGTAAGTAATGATGGTAGAACTGTGACATATGCTGTCTTAGGTAGAAGGTAGCTGGGATAGGTGACTAAGTTGTGAATAAGGTTGGGTCATCCAGTCAGTAATACCTACCTCAACTAGCTCAAGACAGGTGGTCAGCAATAAGAGGATTCTCAGAACTGCTCAGAAGAGTAGGTGTGAGGTACTCATGCTAAGGCAGATCTGACCTATAAATCAGACCCAGGGAATGGCTGGAAGAGAGTATTGCAGCTAATCTTTAGAGGTTTCTCAAAGACAGGTTTCTCTGTGAAGGTTCTCTGAGAAGTCTAGGGAAGCTGGTATCAGATTTCACAAAGTGATTGTATAATTTACAATGATTAAATGTGTAATGCCATGAGCTCTTGTTGACTATTCCCTTCCTCAGAATGAGCAAGCCAGATAAACACCACATCTTTCAGGGATCTGTCTTAAGGAAACATTTCTTCATTCCTTCCTTCTTTTCTCTCTCTCTTCCTTTCATTCTTTTTTTCTATCGTTCAATTTTTCTACCATTAGTTGTTTTACATTTTAATTATGAAAAATTTCAGCATCAGAAAAAGTGAAACCAACTAATACACACGTACTTTCCATTATGGGTCAATGAATTACTATTTACCTATTTTACCTTATCTCTCTTCCATATATATATACACACATATGTATATATCCACTCATATATATACATGCATATATCTGTGTATCTATTTATCTATCTTTGAGCTATTTAAGTAGGTTGCAGATTATTTACCCCTAAATATGTGAGCATATATTCCTTAAGAAGACATTTCTACCTGGATGTGTAATTGCACCATAGCTCTGTGGTAAACAATTGATTAAAAATGAGTATGATTTATAAAGAAAGTGAGAAAAGAAGAATCCATGAAGCAACTATGTGCAGAACAAAGAGTGACTGCACAGTTTCTTCCTGAGTAATCACCCCCAAAACATGTCATGTTCTTCATATGCAAAACTCTGAGAAAGGCATATTTCAGAATATATACATTTAATTTTCTCAATAGTAATTCTTCTAACTGTATCCTAACTGTAAGGAAGAGAAAAAATTCAGGATGTGAAAATTTTTCAAGTCCTTGTATTACCCTTTCCTTTCCTTTTTGTTATGAAAAAGTTTCAAGTTAGAGAAAATTTTTTGTTTGTTTTTGAGTCAGGGCCTCACTCTGTCACCCTAGTTGGAGTGCAGTGATGCAGTCATGGCTCTTGGGTCACCACAGTCTCCAACTCCTGACTCAAGTGATCCTCTTACATCGGCCTCCCGAGTAGCTGAGACTACAGGCATGCACTACCATACCCAGCTAGTATTTTGAAATTTTTGTAGCATTGAGATCTTGCTATGTTTGCCCAGGCTGGTCTTGAACTCCAAGTATTCCTCCCACCTTGGCCTCCCAAAGTTCTGGGATAACGGGCATGAGCCACTGTGCCTGGTTGAGAAAAGTTATTAAAATAACAAATATTAATGTATTTGCCACCTAGAATTAAAAGTGAAAATTTGGGGGGAAATTTTGCATTTCTAAAAGAGGACAACAAATCAAGTGAAAAATATTGGAGGGAAAGAAACAAAAATGTAAGTAAGATATTCCAGAGAAGGATTGTTTGGGGAATTAAAAATAATATAGGGCAACTGGAGAAAGAGAAGGGTTAAGTGATTTGTAGAGATTTTAAAATTCTCAGGATGAAGTCACCTGAAGAGGGTAAGACAAAGCAAGATACAATTTTCACGAGCACTCATGCCTACCTCATTGAAAAAGTTGCCATTTTTTTCCTGCAATTGCTGTCAAGGTTTCAGAAGCGTTGTTCAGCAAAGAAGCCCATCCTCACTGCCGACCAGTGCTGGCGGCCAGTCCCAGACGGTGCTGGAGAGGACAGATGTGCTGGCCCCCATTGTCCCATGGGCTGAGCTGTTCCTGCCTCCGCCAAAAGCAGAACCGTGAGCACATCCAGAGCTGGGGGGAGCCAACCTGCAGCCAGGGGTGCCCAGGCTCTTCGGATTCCAGCGATAGCACCCTGCTTTGAAGTGATGTGTGGTGGTAAAAAAAAAAAACCAACAGCTGAGTTGAGAATCAAGGGAGAAAAGAAAGACTGGAGGTTCAAACCCAGTCAACATGAGGCAGGAGAAGGTCACTGTATTGGTGCCCAGGATGTGACTGGCTTTCTCTGCAGGTCTCCTTGACCCCTCCTCATGTGCTAGGCATTTTGATCCTGGAATTCTGATAACCAAGGCAGAGGGCTGGGAAATGGACCTTGGACACATCGATGTCTAAACCGCTCCCTTTACAACATTAGGTTTTTAGGCAGCATAAAGGAATGCAAAATTGTTCTGTTTACTTCCTCTTTGACTGTTCCTCTGCCATACTTTTTTGTTTTTTCTTGGTTACCCTGCTGTGTCTGCTTTTGCTACTGATTTTCTCATGAAAAGTCCACCCTCACAGGCCGTATGTTTATAGGCTACTAGGCTAAAGGGGTGAAAAGTTTTCCTCACTGACCCTGACTCCCTCTGATATCTCTTTGGAGCCAATATACTATTTTTGGGGAGTGGGTCTGGAGAGGCGCTCAGACTGGAGTGCAGTGGCATGAACACAGTTCACTGCAGCCTCCAACTCCTGGGTTCAGGGGATTCTCCCACCTCAGCCTCCCAAGTAGTTGGGACTACAGGCGTCAGCCAAGATACCTGGCCCAATATACACTTTTATTTGATTTCTCTCGACTTTTGAAAACTCACTTCCTTATAATTAGATAAACCTAGCCTGAGGGCTCTATTGATGGGAAAGGGCTTTCAAAGGTGGTATTCAGAGGTTTCCTTGACTGTAAGGGTCAGCCAGCAAGCAGCTAGCTCTGGTGCAAGACCACATTTTCTTTAAGGAATAGGACTCCATTAACAGATTTTGTTGCTGGAGGTTTTTTTTAATTCTTTCTTCTTTCAGACTTAGAAGGGTGTCTAAAAGTGTTTATTATTAGCCTCAACTGAGAACAAGTGAGTGTCCTTATCATTCAAAAACAAATACACCTGTCTGGCAGCAGGAACTCTGCTTGGCTTTATGAACCAGGAAAATCAACACTGTGTTCAGAGCCCAGTCAGTAAATCCGAGGGGCTTGTAAAGTCATGTTGGAGAAGGAGTTCTTTGTAGAAGGGTTCAAGCTTCTACGGGCTCAAGAATTCTCACTGGAAGACCAGACTTGGTGATAGTCATTTTGTCTGCACAGACTTTGTGTCCTAGTTATGTATCCAATACTACTAAATGTAGAATATTAGAACCCCAATGGGTGGGAACACGCTGAAAAGTTATTAGGGAATCAACCCAAGGGATAAAGGAAGACCAATATCCTCTGACTGCTGTCAGGTTAGCACATCTTTCTGATATCTCCCAAGTGCCTGGCTCTTAACTACTTTCCTTTATACTGAAAAAGGAGATAGTTTAGTTCTGAAATGTAGATATGCCATCCTCATCTCCTTTCTTCTGTGTTTAAAAATAAAATTTGAGAGTAACTTTACATTAAAAAAAAGAAATATCTGGATATTCACCAACTTCACAAGGCTATATAAGAGCCAATATTCATTCAGTTATCTGACTATTTTATTTTGTTTTAAAAAAATTTTGAGACAGTGTCTTGCTCTGTTACCCAGGCTGGAGTGAAGTGGTGTGATCATAGCTCACAGCAGTCTCAACCTCCTAGATTCAAGCAATCTTCCTCCCAAAGTGCTGGGATTACAGACATGAGTCACCCACCCCTGTAATCTTTGAGGTTTAAGGTATTATGTTGTTTGGACAAGATAAAGGTGCAGTGTGTGGTCCCTGCCCTCTGGGAGCTTACGATCTAGTGGGAAAATAAGGTATGTACCATTCAGAACCCCCAACACATACCAGATCTACATGACCAATGTCCCCACAGCTTTATTACTTCAAAGAGGTTTTTATATGAGTCAGTCTCTGACAACTACTGACTCAAACTCTTTCCCCCTGTAATTTTAGTCCTTTTCAGATTGGTCCCAGAAGAGTATATGTGTATGAACAGCTTTAGAGTCACCTGGACCAGTGGGTAGTGTCATTTCTTTAAGCTAGGAGCTGCTTGTGTGCAGTTAGATGATTCATTCACGTAGCAGAAATTCCTAGGTCTATAAATGTAAGACTGAGTAGGGTGAGAAGTATAATGTTTTTGAAGAAATACGTGCGTTCAGGACCTATTTCAAGGAATTATCCAAGATAAAGGAATAATTGAGTATATGGTTACTAGTATTAATGAATATATTCAACCACATTTAAATCACATTTGTCACATTTTCAAACCCAGGGTAGTCTGCAAGGGAGTGTAAGTTTTGAAATGAGCAGGGCTTTGTTCAAATTCTGCTCCATAAGTTTTTATTGATATAGCCTTAGACAAATAACATAAGCCTGGAAGACTTATTTTCAGTTCTGCAAAATGGAGATAGTGATAACCACTTTTCAGAGTGATATGAAGATTAAGTGAGACCGTGTATATAAAAACTCTTAGTCCTGTGACCCAAATGCTAATTTTGTTCCTGTCTTTTCCTCTACTTTTTTGTTTTTTTGGAGGATTATGCCTGTATTTTATTTTAGTCTGTTCTTTTTTTCCCCCTGTTCTTGGCTTTTCTCATTGTTTTTGTTCTTATTTTTTCTGGCTGATCTTGTCTCTTTGGTTTCCCTCTTTCTCCTCTCTGTGGATGTTTGTTTTGCCTGTGTTTATTTTTCCATCATGAACTTTCCTTGAGTTCCTTTCTCATTTGCCTTTTTGCAGGCGTCTTTTGTTTTACCTGGGGGCTCTAAGCCCTTTGCACATTGATGTCAACACTGATTGCTGATCTTGGACTTTGCTGGGGAAAGGGGGTGGAAGGTGTGGGAAGACAGCTCTTAAGGGGCCTGGAGGAAGGATATTGGGAGGTTGAAGTGGTTAGTTGCTTGGCTATACATATTTTGCAGACATACATTTCAGTTCCTGGCCAAGAGTCTGACGGTTTTTCCCACAGGTCCTCAGGGTTTTTGAATCTTTCACTTTCTTCCCCCCACACCCCCCTTCTCTACCCGGTTGTGGTGGAGCTCAGCTTCCCCCTCCCCAACTTCCTGTTGCCTTGCTTTCTCTGAAACATGTTTTACCTATTACTGTTCTTCTCCAACATTTCACTTATGTGGAACACCCGCTTGGAAGGGGAGTTGTTTTTTTAAGAGAAGGAGGTCACTGTTGATAACAGCCATAAGAGTCATAGTTGCATATGAAGCACCAGTGCCCATGCAAGGCCCAGAACAAGACAGCAGGATCTAATAACCTGGTTCATGCGGCACAGATTCCAAATGGAATACAGAGACTCCAAAAGATAGAAACGAACTCAGGAAGTGGTGGACAGTGAAGCCAGGGAGTATTTCTTGCATTTTAATTTCCACAGAAATTTACTCACCATCTACTCTGGGCCAAGCAGTGTGCTAGGCTCTGGGTATAATCTGATGAACAATATACAGAAATGCTCTGCCTTTAATAGCCTTTGGTGGTTCCAGTTGTGTTCTAAACTGTTAGAATCGCTCTGCAGTGCACACCTATTTTAAATTTGGACCCACCAGGCACAGTGGCTCACATCTGTAATCCCAGCACTTTGGGAGGCTGAGGTGGGAGAATCACTTGAACCCAGGAGTTTGAGGCCAGCTACTGGACGATGTAGTGAGACCTCATCTCTACAAAAGATACAAAAATTAGCCAGATGTGATGGCATGTGCCTTTAGTCCCAGCTAAAAGGAGGCTAGGTGGGAGGATCACTTGAGCTTAGGAGTTTGAGGTATGATTGCAGTGAGATATGATTGCACCACTGCACTGCAGCCTGGGTGACACCTGTCTCAAAAAAAAAAAAGAAAAGAAAAAGAAAAAGAAAATCTGAGGGTGATTAATCATCAGAGGGCTTCCTTGGCAGCATATAAAGGAATTCTTATCTCCTGCAGCCAGAGTGTAGAAGTAGATGATCAGATCCCAGACTTAATTATAAGGGTAACATAGCTCTAGAAAAGATTGAATTTTGTATTCTGGCAAGTGGGCTATGCTACAATCAGGCCCCGGTTGGAAATAAGTAGGGTCCTAAGATTGGGGCTGGGGACATCTGGGTCAATGCACTTGGAAATACTGACTCACTAGAATCCCCTAAACCTTTTGGGCCTGCAGAAAGGGTCAACTCCTCTGTTAAATCTGACTCTCCCCTTGCTTGAAGAGGATACCAGAGGCCTCTGTCTTACAATATGGCACACAATATAGATTAATGAGGATCAACTGGGAATTCTTCAGAGCATCACACTGGCACACTATGTCAATGACACATTAACTGGGCTGAGTGAACAGTAAGTGGCAAGTCCTTAGAGACCTCATTCAAGACATCTGTGCTCCAGAAGGTTGGAGATAATCCCAACAGATATTCCAGAGTCCACCCCATCAGTGACATTTTAAGAATCACAGTAGTCTGGGGCATGCCAGGACATTCCTTCCAAATTAGAGGACAAATTATAGGGTCTTCCACCTCCTGCTACTAAGAAAATCATTTGATAGGTCACTTTGGGTTCTTGGGAACAGTATATTCTACACTTAGAGATACTGCTTTGGCGCATTTGCTGAATGACATGGAAGATTTCCACATGTGATTGGGACACAGAGAAGGAAAGGGATCTGTAGTAGGTCCCTGTGGTGAAAGCAGTACTGCCTCTTGGGCTGTGGCATCTGAAGACTATGGTACTGGAGGTGTCTATAGTGGGAAAAGATGTGCATGGCAAGCTCCATAGCTGGGCACAGTGGCTCATGCTCAGCACTTTGGGAGGCTGAGGCGAGAGGATTGCTTGAGTCCAGGAGTTCAAGATCAGCCTAGAGACCTTATCTCTACAAAAAAATTTAAAAATTAGCCAGGAGTAGTGGCATGTAGTTCCAGCGACTTGAGAGGCTGAGGTGGGAGTATTGCCTGAACCCAGGAGGTCGAGACTGCAGTGAGTTGCAATCATTCTACTGTTCTCCAGCCTGGGTGACACAATGAGACTCCAACTCAACTTTAAAAAAAAAAAAGGAAAGAAAAAGAAGAAAAGCCACAGTATAGATCCTGGCTCCTGGCTCAAGTCCATATCCTTTGCAGTTGAGGGCCATATGCCACTCACAAACAGCTTCTCTTAAGCTACTGGACCCTGATAGTGCTGGAATACCTAAAGATCTTGTGATCAGAGCTAGATTTTGTTAGAACCACAAAGTTAAAAAAGATCAGGTGGGCCCAGCAGCAACTACTGTGAAATAGAAGTAGTACATCTGGGATTGGGCACTAAAGTGTGAGGGAGCACCAGTCAGCTGCAAGAGAAGGTGGCCACATTTTGTGCCCTGTCCTACTGTGCACTGGCTCCTCTTTTCCACACAGCAAGTACAAGCAGGGTCCTATGAGGGTGCAAAGGCCTCGCCTTCTGGCCTCTGTAGCGTATTTCTGAAGGGCCAGAGCTCCCCATGGGATTGACCAAGTTCTCCATTGCAATTGGGTTGCTGTTTAACTTCTGTCTTTATCCAGTCCTGTTCTCCTCACTTTCTTATAGGTGTATTCTTGAGACCACTCTCCAGTAACTTTCCTGCACACAATTCTCTGTCTCAGAGTCTGTTTATTAGAGAATCCTACCTAAGACATTAGGACATTTATCTCACAGAATGTCCCCTATTCTGGATTCGGCTGATGTTTCCTTGTGGTTTAGTTATTTGTTTTTCTATCTCCTATGTTTCCTACAAAAACAACTCGAAGAAATCAAAGATGACACAAACAAGTGGAAAAATATTCCATGCTCATGGATTAGAAGAATCAACATTGTTAAGATGTCCATTCTACCTAAGGCAATCTACAGATTTAATGTAATACCCATCAAATTGCCAGCAACATTCTTCTCAGACCTAGAAAAAAAAAATACAGGAATTCATATGGAAACATAAATGACCACAAATAGCCAAAACAATCCTCATTAAAAAAAAAAAAAGTGGGAGGTATCACATTCCCAGACTTTAAACTTTATTATAAAGCCATAATAATCAAAATAGTCTGGTATTGGTACAAGAACAGGCATATAGACCAATGGAATAGAATTAAGATTCCAGGAGCAAAACCTCAATTTCTCAACAAACTCATCTTCGACAAGGCCTCCACCATCAACCAGTGGGTAGCAGAGAACCAACTCAGTAAATGGTGCTGGGAAAACTGGCTGACCCCATGCAGAAGATTAAAACAAGACCCCTACCTATCACCATACACAAAAATCAACTCTAAATGAATCAAAGACCTAAATGTAAAACCTTAAACTATAAAATTCTTAGAAAATGCAGGAGACACCGTTATGAAAATTGGAACTGGCAACCAATTCCTAATCAAAACCCCAAGTGTCCATGCCATAAGAGATAAGATAGACAAGTGGGACCTGGGTATATTCCCAGTAGGGGGACTGCAGGGTCATATGACCTTACCCCATTACAAAGTGGGCAAAAGATATGAATAGACAGCTCACAGGTCACAGATTGGGAGAAAATATTTGCCAACGGTATACCTGACAAAGGCCTAACATCTAGGATCTAGAAGGAACTCAAATGTGCTGAATAGAAAAAAACAAATAGCCCCATTACAAAGTGGGCAAAAGATATGAATAGACAGTTCTCAAAAAAAGACATGAGCAGCCAACAGATACATGAAAAAATGTTCAGCCTCACTAGTCATCAAAGAAATGCAAATTAAAACTATACTGAGTTACTACTTAACTCCAGTTGGAGTGGTCCATCAATAACTCAAAGAATAACAGATGCTAGAGAGGATGTGGTGAAAAGGGAACACTTTTACACTGTTGGTGGGAGTGTAAACTAGTACAGTCTCTGTGGAAAACAGTGTGGTGATTCCTAAAGTTCTAAAAATCGACCTTCCATATGACCGTGCAATCCCATTACTGGGAATATATCTGGAAGAACTCAAATCACTCTATAAAAAGGATATCTGCACACATATGTTTATTGCAACATTGTTCACAATAGCAAGAACATGGAACTGTGTTGCTCATCAAAAGAGGACTGGATTAAAAAAATGTGGCACATATACACAATAGAAAATTATGCAGCCATGAAGAACAAAATCATGAATTTCGCAGCAACCTGGATGGACTTAAAGTCTATAATACTGAGTGATCTTTCACAGTAACAAAGAACTCAGTATCACATGTTCTCACTCATAAGTGGACCTTGAACAACTATTGTAATACTATAAGAAAAGAATTGACAGTGGCAGGAAACTGAGGGTGGGTGGGGTTGGCAGTAGTGGGAATCTGCCTGGGGAAGGGGGGCACACCTCATCAGCAAGGGTAACTGCATAATGAATATTTGTATACCTAATCCTGAATTGTACCCCATAATTTTAAAATAAAAATTTCAAAGTTAAAGAAAGTCTGTTTGAGCCTGGCTTGGTGGCTCAGCCTGTAATCCCAGCACTTTGGGAGGCTGAGGCGAGTGGATGGCCTGAGCTCCCCGGTTCGAGATCAGCCCGGGCAACTTTGAAGAGACCTCATCTCTACAATAAATAAAAAAATTAGCCAGCATGGTAGTGCACACCTGTGGTTCCCACTACTTGGAGGGATCCCTGAGCCCAGCAGGTTGACGCTAGGGTGACTGTGAGCGTACCACTGCACTCCAGCCTGAGTGAGGGAGTAAGACTCCAACTCAAAAAGAAAGAAAAGTCTGTCTGGGCATGGTGGCTCACAGCTATAATCCCAGCACTTTGGGAGGCTGAGGTGAGGAGGATGACCTGAGCCCAAGAGCTTGAGACCAGCCTGAGCAACTTGGCGAGATCTCATCTCTACAATAAATTTAAAAAAAATTAGCCAGGTGTGGTGGCATGTGGCTGTAATTCCAGCTACTTGGAAGACTGAGGTGGAAGAATCGCTTGAGCCCAGCAAGTCAAGGCTGTAGGGGCTGTGAACGAGCCATGGCACTCCAGCCTGGGCAACAGAGTGAGACTCCACCCCCCCCCAAAAAAAGTAAGTCTGTTCACCTGAAAACATAGAAATTATTTGACTATTATATCTGGTCTCTTTCACACAGTAGGTTGTAAGTCAGTGTCTTAATTAAAGAACATCTTTTGGTTGCCAGTAACAGAAAATAACTGAGAATTGCTTAGCCAAAAACGGAAGAAAAGAAATGGAAATAAATTATAAAATACAGGGAGAAGTTGATCATTAAATAGGTTTCATAAAAGAGAAGAACCAGAAGTTAGAAAGCTGTTAGAACTCAGGTAACTCTTCCTACTTGCAGTGTCTCTCTGTTCAGTCTTAAGAAAGAGATCATGTTTGGCTATCTTGTCAAGTGTCCATTCTCAGTCCAGTCAGCTATGGTCAAGGGGTTTTGGTACAAATATGAGGGGAGAGCAATTCTTTTTTTTTTTTTTTTTTTTTTT